GATAACGTCAATGTATTTGCTGGTGTACACACATCAATGTGACTATTATGTCTGGATTGCTATTCAGAGGTCACATTTTTTAAATCAGTTATGTTCTGGAAGCCATAAAAACTTTTGATTAATTTCAAAGGCTTAAGTGAAGTGGCTCAATCCACATAATCCACCACAATTTCCTCCACATGATTTATACTTTAGCAAAACAACACTCCTTTTGAAGTTTATTTATATTTTGGGAGACAATTTAAAAAGGTTACTTTCTTGCCACCAGCAATTGAAAAATATGTTTTCAGAATCTGCAGTTCAGGTATCAAATTGACAATACAAAGTCATCCCGGTAACCTGCATCTGAATATAATATGTACTGAAAATTGCAATTCAGCTGCTGTCCAATACACAGTTTTCGAAACTATCAGCAGGTCACTTTCTTTCATTTTGATCTGAACAAGATTAAACTAAAATCATTAGAAAAGAATGTAGGGAAAGGAGAGCTTTCTCAGCCTCATTACTAGCCAGTGCTGTATATTTCTTCACTGCATAAAATCATGTCATTGTGATACTTACAAAAATCTCATCAACAAAATTTGAGATTTTTTTAAACCTAGCACAGTTTCCCTTGTATCATGTAATTACAGAGAAGACTGAACAGCTCCAGATATTGATAAAGAAATACTGAATTCTTCATCAGAAACAGAGTAACAGAGGATGCAGAAAGTCCATAAAATCTGTTAATTCCATATTCTCCACTTTCAAACTCCACCCTCACCACCACTCCTGAATCTTTCAGTTCACCCTCCTATCACTCTGTCCATCCTACCCAACTCCAAACCTGATACATCAATTTCCCTTCCAGTTCATGGATTGCTTAGCACCTTTGGAGAAAATCTAGGGACTTTGCATACTTTCCTCTAAAGCATTTTTTTCAACTCAACTCTCTTCCTTGCTAGATTGCTCTACTTGTTTTCCTGGACTGACTCTTGTGCCTTCAACCGTTGGAGGCTCTTGTATTTATTTAAGTCCACTCAAACCCTCTCCACTTAAGAAATCGCTAAATTGTAAAGAAGGAATTTGAAACAATTTCATCCTCCTTTATCCCTGCCTCATCATCATGACTCCTTCTTTCCCCCAATCCTTTATTCCTGACACCCAAATCTTAGACTTTGAGGTGGTCTCACACTATTGTCTTCTACTCAGTAACCTGTTCTCTTCAGCCCATTCCTTTTTGATACCTGTCTTCTCTCACTTCAAATTTAATTCCCTCTTTCTCCTTCACCCTCAATCACTCTCTTACCTAGCTCTTTTTTATTTTTTTAAGTCTTCAGCATGCCCTGTGTAACCAGGTGCAACTCACCACTTTGGCACCTCCTGCTGGCCATCCTGGGAATTAGCTCTAGTTCACCATTGCACCTTCATCTAGTGGTGTCTCGCCACCATCACTTCTGGTGTCCTCAGGGAGTCAAAGTCTGCTTTCCTGAAGTCCAAGGTCTGTATTCTGATCCTGAACTCGACCATCTCATGGTCACTGCTGCCCAGGTTGCCACCCACTTTACTTCCCCTACCAATTCTTCCCTGTTTGTGAGCAGCAGGTCAAGAAGAGCACGGTCCCTAGTTGATTCCTCCAGCTCTTGCACCAGGAAGTTGTCCCGAACACTCTCCAAAAACTTCCTAGATTGTCTGTGCACTGCTGTATTGCTCTCCCAGCAGATGTCAGGGTGCTTGAAGTCTCCCATGAGAACCAGGGTCTGTTAGCTGGAAACTTCTGTTAGTTGTCCGAAGAAAGCCTTGTCTACCTCTTCCTTCTTGTCCGGTGGTCTATAGCAGATGTCAACCACGACATCACCCTTGTTGCTCTCATCTCTAACCTTAACCCAAATTGCAATGCAATTAAAAGTTACCCCTTTCCACCTATAATGTCTATAATTGACTAACCTTTTAGTACTAAATGCTGAAGTTGGAACAAGACAACTCATCAAAATGTGACCAGTTTTTACAGGAGTTGAAAATGGCTACTGAATTTGGACAGAGAGAAGGATACAGCTGACGGAAGTGTAGTGACAGCTGCAGGGTACCCTTGAGGAGAAGAGAAACAGGGAACAGTGAAGAAATGTTAAAAGGAAGCAGGGTCAATTATGTGAGAAGAACAGTGTGTGGAAACTGAGTGAGTTAGAGAAAGTAAAACAACTAGAGAACAATAAAAATCCAACCGCAAATAAAATGGAGAAAGTGAGTAAGGAAAAAGTGGCAGAGAAAGAAATGCAGACTAAGAAACAGTTGTTCAACAAAAAAAAACCGTCAAAAACAGACTCCAACGAGAAACTGCAGAACTGGAATTAATTTGCAAACTGGACACCATCAAATTAGGTCTGAATAAAGACTAGGGAGTGGATGGGTCACTACAAAAACTAATTTCCCTCTGCTGATACTCACGCCTTCTTGTCAACTGTTTGAAATGGGTCACCTTGATTACATTGAACTCATTAGCACTACAAAAGTGATTTTTCCTCCCTTCTTGTCAACTGTTGAGAAAAGCCCACTCTGCCTTAATTGAATTGGCTCATTAACACTGACCCCCCACTTGATAAGACAACTCCCATCTTTTCATATGCTGTGTATTGATATCCTACTGTATTTTCCACTCCATGCATCTGATGAAGTGGGTTTTAGCCCATGAAAGCTTATGCCCAAATAAATTTGTTAGTCTCTAAGGTGCCACAAGGACTCCTCGTTGTTTTTGTCAGAAGACAGGATACTGGGCTAGATCGACCATTGGTCTAACCCAATATGGCCATTCTTATGTTCTTATGATGAAGGGTAGCCCAACAGAACAACTGCCAGGTGCCCCTCTAAAGTAAAATCAATGTAAGCAACCAGCACTTCAATATTAATCTAGTATTTGTGTAAACTATGTAAATAACCCTCTTGAAAATTCACTTAATTTCTATATGCCCTCAAATAAGACAAAAATTTTCCCCCCACTGCTTTTAGCTAATTCGCAGACTTTACTTGTATACTGTTAAATAGTTTAAAAATGGTGACATCTTTTTATTATACATGTGCTTCATGTGTCAAATTGGTTCTCATGTGGAAACTTCCTTTCACAGTCCAAGGGCCAAATTTTGACCTCACTAGGACTGTGGTCACCTAGTGGAATCAGTGCTGTTCTACTGCAGCAAGTGTTCAGGATGGGGTTGGAAGGTCAGAAAAGGGGTGACGTCACTGCATCTATGACTATGCGGATGCACCAACCATTCCCAATGGAATAAAGACACGGGTATTTTGAGGGGTTACTAACCCTGAGGCTGCACAGAGGTTTTACTGCCACTCCTTAATGGAAGGGGAAAGTATTTCTTACTTCACCCTAACCCCCTGCTGAGATCGCTAGTGTGCAGCCCCTGCCACTTGAGCTGTAAACTATTTCTAGGATTTGGCTCATACTATAGATGAGTGGTTGTCAAACTGCAGGTTGCGACCCAGTACTGGGTCACGGAATGTAAGGCACTGGGTCACGACGGCTCTGGTCAGCACCGCCGACTGGGCCGTTAAAAGTCCTGTTGGCAGTGCTGCCCAGCTAAGGCAGGTGAGTCCCTACCTGTTCTGACACCGCGCTGCGCCCCGGAAGCAGCCAGCATCAGGTCTGGTTCCTAGGCAGGGGGGCCACGGGGCTCCGCATGCTGCCCCCACCCCGAGAACTGGCTCCGCTGTGGCAGTGGTGCCTGTGAGTGAGAGCCATGTGGAGCCACTTGCATGCCTGAGGGATAGCTCAGTGGTTTGCGCATTGGTCTGCTAAACCCAGGGTTGTGAGTTCAATTCTTGAGGGGGCCATTTAGGGATCTGGGGCAAAAATCTGTCTGGGGATTGGGCCTGTTTTGAGCAGGGGGTTGGACTAGATGACCTCCTGAGGTCCCTTCCAACCCTGATATTCTATGATTCTATGCCTCCACCTAGGAACTGAATCGGCTGCTTCTAGGGCACAGCGCAGTCCGCGGTGCCAGGACAGGCAAGAAGCCTGCCTTAGCACCCCCGCTGTGCCACTGACTGGGAGCTGCCTGAGGTAAACCCGTGCCCCTGCTCCCAAACCCAGAACCCCTTCCTGCACCTCAAACCTCTCAGCCCCACCTCAGAGCCCTGACCCCCTCCTGCACCCCAAACCCTTCCTCCCTGGCTTCACCCCGGCCCCTCCCAAACCCCTCATCCCCCCAGCTCCTTTGGGTTGCGGGCATCAACAATTTTCTTCAGCTGGGTCACCAGAAAAAAAGTTTGAAAACCACTGCTATAGATAATGAAATGCAGGATGGAATTCAAATTTGCAGCTTATAAAAATGGAAATCATAACATGTTCCCAAAAAAGATGTAGCTCCAAATAGGCCATCTTATTAGTATTACCATACTAAAATCAGTGGATCACTATTACATAACTCTCTCACAAGTTAATGAGGGCTCTAGCCTCTGACATTAAGACTGGACTTGACCAAATGTCTTATTTAATTTTACAACAAAGCACCACCATCATCTAGTGGCATAGATTGCTATTATATATACTTTCCATTTTTATGACACACTGAGTAAAATATTTCAATAATTTTTCTATTCTTTAACAGCTAAAATTGAGGAAGATTTAGAATTACTGGAGGGGGTGGGAAATGAAAGAATGTGAAATTGGCTTTATAGAAAATAAACGCAGCTGACTGACAGATTATATGACTCGATGCTTGAGTCAATTTCTGAATGCAGAAATGAAAACTGCGCAAGTGAAAAATAATTACCTTTAAGATGTCTCATACATCACTCATATTTATCCATTAAGTTAGTACAATCATATGTTTAATGCATTATAGGGAAAAAGGATAAAAAAAATAAACAAAGGAATTTTTCAAACTGATACTTTTTGCAAATGTATTATGTAATTTTTTTTACATTCTTCATCTACAAACCTCTATTTTATTACTGGAATCAAATCACTATTTAATTTATAAATAATCTATATAATTGAACTGTTGACTTACATGGTAACTTTTCAGTCTGACAAAGTCAACTTTCATGGAGATGGACCTTTCTGAATTTCTACTGAGAGTCTTAATATGCTCCACAAGGTCAGCACAGAACTTGTAGCCACCTTTAAGTACACAGAGAACCACAATGTTATTGTCTCCAATGTCTTGCATGATGTCTTTGGCCAGGCATTCTGTCCTGAAATAAAGGATAAATATAATGTAAGATGCAGACCACAGGTTTTTCATGGAGTTATACAAAAATATCTAGAAATCATGCATGGCCTGATCTAAAGCCCATTCAACTCCCTCACTGACTTTAGTGGGCTTTTGATCAACTGCACAACAGGCAGATACAAGAAGGAATCTAATCAATACAGGATTCAGAATGTGTATAACACAGGCTGGAAATTATCATTAGACACATTCCCCTGATTACACAACTGGAATAATATGTTGCAATAAATATTATTATAAAGAAGACTTTTTGGGTGATTGAGCAAACTAGGCCATCAGCTTTACACAGCATCCCACATTCATGTAAAGTCTCTCTCTATGATCACACACTTTGTTATGCAAACTGCTAAGAGTAACCGCTTAAAGGTGCAAGATAAAGAAGAAAAACACCAGAAATTACATAAACTCACAGACTAAAGAAAAAGCTACACTTGCATTTTAGTAAAATTAAATAAATAAATAAAAATACTTACAAGCAACACATATAATGTTATTCAGAGATCTCAACACACTTTACAAAGGGTAAAATCATTATCCCCATTTTGCAGACAAGACAAACTTAGATGCAGAGAAGCTAAGTGACTTGCCCAAGGTCACACAGCAAGATAGGAAGAGTCAGAGTTATTTACTGGTTACTTTGGGGATTTAAAGATCTAATAATTTACTGATCTGTATTCTTATTAACAATGTGTCTCCTTTGTCAACAGAATGTGGCATATTAGAATGAGCAGGATCCCAGCTTTTATATGGGATAAACTTCTTGGCTTAAATCTTCAAAACTAACTAGTGAGTTTGGGTGCTTCATATTTTGGTAAGCCCATCTGAAAATATCTTAAATGGGTCCAATTTTCAGAGGGCGGGTGACTCAGCATTTCTGAAATTATCAGGCCTCTTTAGTGTGCCTCTAATGGTCAAACACTCAAAAATCATTAGTTATTTTTTAAAACTAGCCCTCCATTTCTAGCCTCTAGCAAAGATGGTTTGTGAAATATCAGACCTGAAACCTGTACTGATCCAAGATTCAAGAGTGCCATCCTGTACCTCAGACCAGTGCAATTTTGAGGAAAAATGCTACACTTGGTCGAGAAGAAGAAAAACAATTTTTTCAGGTTGCTTATAAAAACAGTAGCTACTTGGCATTATAGTGTAGTCCCAATAAAGATGGACTAGTGGCCAGAGTGCAGATGAGGAAATCAGAGGTATAGGCCAAATGCAATTTATTATATGATTCTGTAATTTATCATATGGATTTCACTACCACATTTGTGCTATAAACTGCTCTTTGCTGGTCCACAGTGACATAGGAGTCCATTTTTCTCCACATATACACAAAAAATAAATCATTGGAAATTACTGTATGTGCACAGCATGTGTAAGGGAAGAATATACTCCGAAGAAGACAATATTTCTTTTCATTTTTCTTATTTCTGTTGCCAACAATAAATTACCATAGCTACAATTTAAAAAGGTCAAAGTTTCTTTCAGTTTCATATCTATGCAATGCAAAGAAGAAATTCTATATACCAAAAATAGATCAAAAGAGTGAATATTCATAGATTTTAAGGTATGAATTTATATCATCTAGTCTGACCTCAAATACATTTAAGTTCCCCTTTTGTTTATGTAAAAATAGCACAAATAGTGAGGTAACTGCATTTTTCTCCGTCTTCTTCAGCATTACCTGCTCTAAAGGAAAGTCTGAAATTGTGGGAAAGTCTTTCACAGAGACAGTGACGGAAGACACTTAGGGCAGGTCTACACTTACTTCCTGGTCCGGCCGTAAGCAATCGATCTTCTGGGAGCGATTTATCGCGTCTTGTCTAGACGCGATAAATCGATCCCGGATCGATCCCGGAAGTGCTCGCCGTCTACGCCAGTACTCCAGCTCGGCGAGAGGAGTACGCGGCATCGACGGGGGAGCCTGCCTGCCGCGTCTGGACTCGTGGTAAGTTCGAACTAAGGCTTGGTCTACACTTACCCCACAATTGGAACTAACGTACGCAACTTCAGCTACGTGAATAACGTAGCTGAAGTTCGAAGTACCTTAGTTCGAACTTACCTCGGTCCAGACGCAGCAGGCAGGCTCCCCCGTCGACTCCGCGGTACTCCTCTCGTCTAGCTGGAGTACCGCAGTCGACGGCGAGCACTTCCGAGTTCGACTTATCTCGTCCAGACAAGACGCGATAAGTCGAACCCAGAAGTTCGATTTCCAGCCGCCGAACTAGCGGCTGGGTATAGATGTACCCTAAGGTACTTCGAATTCAGCTACGTTATTAACGTAGCTGAATTTGCGTACCTTAGTTCAAAGTGGGGGGTTAGTGTGGACCAGGCCTTAGTGATCTGTGTCTATCCATAATTTTTTTCTAGCCCTCTGTTTATAAATTACACTCCCTCCTTTCCCGTCTTTATTTTTTTTAACTTCTTAGAGGGTTTTTGTTGTTTTGTGTAATTGGGTGGATATAAACAAAGCTACTTTTCACAACTTTTTAGGCTAGATACTCAAAACATTTTGATAATCTGGTAAAGAAATGGTTGGCTTTAGGTCACTTTTACATTTCAAGCATGTTGACAGAAACAGAAATAAATGCTGAATGATTCTTTAAATATCTCCTTGTCCCCCAGCTTTAGTGTCCAAGACTATATACTTTGCATCATGGATTATTCCAACTTGAAAAGACCCCGACATTTTGTCCCTGAGGCTTCCCCTATACTAGAATTCAAACTATTTCAGGAAAAAATGTTTAACCTTCATTTTTACTGGCAGGGTGCTAACATAATTTAACTGATCAGAGTGGAAAGGAATGAATTATGTTAAAGTATTTCACAAATCATAACTATTATAGATTACTTTACTAAAATATTTTGTAAGAGTTTAAACTCTAGTGCAGACAGGAACTTATTAAGCTCCAGTTTATATATAAAATATGGACAAAATGTAGTTGTATTCTCATTACAAGTATTTTCTGCAGTTTTGATCTCTCTCTACACAACGAGTTTCAGCCATATATTTGACAATGAACATCAAAGTAAATTCAATCCTGTTCCTTGCTCTAACCCCAGGTTTGTCTTGCTGGTGTGGAGAGAGACAACAGAGTTCAACAATTTTAACCAAATTTACAGTTATATCCTAGTAGGAAGGAAGGTTGAGCATATGATGTTTGCTGACTGGTTTCAGAGTAGCAGCCGTGTTAGTCTGTATCAGCAAAAGGAACAGGAGTACTTGTGGCACCTTAGAGACTAACACATTTATTTGAGCATCAGCTTTCATTGGCTACAGCCCACTTCATCAGATGCATAGAATGGAACATATATATACATACAGAGAACATGAAAAGGCGGAAGTTGCCATACCAACTCTAAGAGACCACACACCACACAACAAAAACACTAACCCAGGAACTTATCCTTGCAACAAAGCCCGATGCCAACTCTGTCCACATATCTATTCAAGTGACACCATCATAGGACCTAATCACATCAGCCACGCCATCAGGGGCTCGTTCACCTGCACATCTACCAATGTGATATATGCCATCATGTGCCAGCAATGCCCCTCTGCCATGTACATTGGCCAAACCAGACAGTCTCTACGCAAAAGAATAAATGGACACAAATCTGACATCAGGAATCATAACATTCAAAAACCAGTAGAACACTTCAACCTCTCTGGTCACTCAGTAACAGACTTAAAGGTGGCAATTTTGCAACAGAAAAGCTTCAAAAACAGACTCCAACGAGAAACTGCTGAACTTGAATTAATATGCAAACTAGATACCATTAATTTGGGCTTGAATAGAGACTGGGACTGGCTGGGTCATTACACAAATTGAAACTATTTCCCCATGTTAAGTATCCTCACACCTTTTTGTCAACTGTCTGAAATGGGCCATCTTGATTAACACTACAAAAGTTTTTTTTCTCCTGCTGATAATAGCTCATCTTAATTAATTAGCCTCTTAGAGTTGGTATGGCAACTTCCAGCTTTTCATGTTCTCTGTATGTATATATATCTTCTTACTATATGTTCCATTCTATGTATCTGATGAAGTGGGCTGTAGCCCATGAACACTTATGCTCAAATAAATTTGTTAGTCTCTAAGATGCCACAAGTACGCCTGTTCTAGTCAGCTGACTCTAATCACAATAAAGGAACAACTGACTTCTACACTGACTGGAGGAACAGAGAATGAAGGAGAGCTATAATTGACACCTGTTTTCATAAACAGCTGACAACTCCAATGTAGATGTAGCTTTGAGTAGGTGGGTTTTCTTATGGGGGAGCTTTTAGTGGCCATTATATTTACGTTTCCTAACACTTTCCATTATGATAGATTCTTTCAACCTTTATAAGGGGGAGGGATAGCTCAGTGGTTTGAGCATTGGCCTACTAAACCCAGGGTTGTGAGCTCAATCCTTGAGGGGGCCATTTAGGGATCTGGGGCAAAAATCTGTCTGGGGATTGGTCCTGCTTTGAGCAAAGGGTTGGACTAGATAACCTTCTGAGGTCCCTTCCAACCCTGATATGCTATGATTCTTTTAAGAAGCTCCAACTCCTCCATTGTTTGCAGCAGTCCTTTCAAATGGGTTAGGGAGAAAGTTCTCAAGCAAAGAGGTCTTTTCTTTTTCCATGCAATTCCATTCAGGTTTGTTGAGATATAAGTCAGCATTTCCCTTCTGTAAAGTAAGCACTGCAGAAAAATTTTGGCAGCATACCAAAATAATAACTGAACATGAACACTCTACAGAGCTGAGTTGCCACCAGTGCAAAAGCAAGAGCAGCAACAGTAGACACAGCACTGTGAACAGCTGGGAGCTGCTGTAGTGGAGGGAAGAGAGTGGAGACAGATTCCCTGCAACAACCCTTCAGACCCAGCACTTGGCCCATCCCCAACCCTGGGATAACACCCTTCTCTTGCTATCAGCCCTGTAGGTCAAGTGACAGAAGTCTGTGCTACAACAATGAAAGTTTAGGGTTCAACCCCTGTTGATGATGCATAATGGGGGCTGTTACAGTTACATGTAATAGAAACTGGTTTTACCTTTTTCCTTTTAAAAAACCCTGGTAAATTAAATTTAAAAACTTATTTAGATTGCAAATTAAGCACTCAAAGGTTAGGAAATGCCAGCTTTAAGGTTGCCCTTACAGCCTTAATTCTGCCCTCTTGTGCATATGTATTATGACAGACTTTAATTACTTGATCAGATACAGTCTTCCCCACAAGAATCCTGCCTCATTCAGTGAGCAGGATGGACACTTAAGGTGGCAGTATTAAGACTGCACGGGCTACTGTAAATCTGGCATTTCCCAAATTTCAAGTGCTTTCCTTTGAAACCTACATAATATTCTTTGAGAGTAGTTCTTTTGTATGTAATTTTATGTATAAATTGTTTGACTGTCCAATTATGTCTGTATAACAAGTATACAAAACATTGTTAAATACTTATATAGTAATATTCAAAGCACTCTTACCTGTCAACAATAATACCATGAGGTATGAGCACATATTCCAGATCTCCATAGTAGTGCTGTGGATATGTGAATAAATCCAAACTGTAGCCTGGCCAATCGTCTGAAATCTGCAAATTAGGTTAATATAATTAGAACACTTCATTGTATTTGGTATATAAAAAGCTATCATATTCTCAGTGTTAGACTATGTCCTTTTACATTGGATTTGACAGTATTATTAGCAACTACTATTAGTTGTACTGGCCCTATGCACACACCCTTCCCATATATGGTGATATCCATGTGATTAACTCCAGGGTCAGGTAATCAAAAATACATGATGATAATTTACCACTTCACCTGTGCCTATTAATCACGGGTGCATTATGTCTACTTCTATCAATCTAACTCTATAAACACCCTTAAAAGTAACTATTCTTTAAAAAAAAAAAAAAAAAGCAACCTGTCACAGAAATGCTGTGGTCTTTCCCTAATTTTATCTGCATAAGTCTCAGAGATTGCACTACGCATGACTGTGAACTCATGAATGATTTATGCAGGTCATCTGAAATGAGCACCTAGAAAACATTCAAACTCACCATCAGGTATTCTGTATATGCCACATATTTACAGAAAAAAGATTAATGTTTTAAAGAATTTTTAAAATGTGTATTAGTACTGCTTTTCACATCCATCCACCTGTAAAACCAGGAACTGGATTAATACCAGAACCTCAGAAATCAAAAAGTTTATAAATGTCAGGCAGAAATCAAGCAGGACAAATGTCAGTTCAAAAGGTCATGTTTCAGAAAGCTCTAAACATGTAAAAAGGAGGGATTGTAATGGAAACGGTTCAGCAAGTTTTACAACAGTCCCATAGTAAAGACAGCACCTCCAACTTCTTGCAACCATACTGGAGCTTTGTTTCAATATTGACTTTGAGGAAAGAGTGCCACCTCATGGGTTTCTTAACTGTCTGTGCAGTCATATGTACTCATAAACATCTTGTCTTTATTCCTTGTATTTGCTCCTGAGGGCATTCTGCACCAAAAAATGTATATTCTGCACCAAAACATTTAAAATTCTACACACAATGTTTTAAAATTCTGCAAAATTCTGCAAATTTTATTGTCAAATAAATGTGGAGGCTCCAGCATGTCATTGAGGAGCAAAGGCCACTGGGCTGCACAGAGGTGGGAGATCACTGTGCAGCTCCCTCCCCGGGACATGGACTCAGCGATGAGGCTGCACCCAACCCTGACAAAGCGCAAGGACACAGCCTGCCCCAGAAACACCCTCGGGCCCTGCCCCTCTGTGCAAGGCAGGAGCCAAGTCTGGAGGGGCTTAATGTGGGGGGAGCCAGGTGTGGGTTGAGAGGGTTCTATGTGGGGCAATCTGAGTGCAGGTGTCTCAGTGGGGGATCTGGGTGTGGGGGGGATCTGGATGCACATGGGCTTGTTGGGGGGTTCCGGGTGCAAAGGTAATGGAACTCTGCAGGAGGGTCCAGGTGAGGGTGGTTGGGGCTCAACGGGGGGGGGGGGGAGGGGGGGGGGGGGGCCGGAATAGGAAGGGGGGGCCCGGCAGCTGGGGAGCAATGGGTGCAGGAAGTCTGTTATGGGGGTGTGGGGGTGGAGAGTTTGCAGAGCTTCCTGCAGCCGGGAGAGAAATCTGGGGGTGGGTCAGACTCAGCCCCGGATGCCGTGCAGGGCAAAAGGAAGTCTCATCCTCCCCAGTTCAGCCGGGGCTAGCAGCTGAGCCCAACGCAGGGTTGGAGCCACCAGCCAGGTTTTATCCAGTCTCGCCTCCTGCCCCACAGTGATTTATCTCTCTGCTGGCTGCCCTGGGCACCCGAAACATACCCGAAACATCGCTCTTGTGGCTTCCTTTTACTTCCCCATCAGGAAGTCATTTTTCTGCAGGGAAGCAAAGAAATCTGCGGGGGGACATCAAGTCTGCACATGTGCAGTGGCGCAGAATTCCCACGGGAGTATTGTATTGTTCAAACACATGAATATCAACAAATGGTTAGAGAACTGCTTTTGTGGGGTACAGTGTGCATTTCTGCTATATAGAATCCTCAACTGAAGATTAGAAACTACTAACTACTGCAAGCAGATTCACCTACTAGAATAAAGAATCATAAATCCTTCACAAATAATTTGCCTATCAAAATGTGTTGATTGCTGACCTATTGTATTACATTAGCATCTTTATGAGGATTCTACCTTCATACATTGCTATATTTATCTCTGGCACGAGTCTGGTGATGCTAAACTACACCTTGAAGAAATATTATTTGTCTAAGAATGGTTACTTTACGTCTACTTAGCTGCAGCACAAACATCAACTTCCTAGAGAAATGTGCCTGGCACAAAATCATCATTTGCTTGCAATTAATAATTAAAAACTGAAAATAAAAGGCATGACCCAAAGACCACTGGAGTCAATAGGAGTTTTTGCACTGACTGCAATGGGCTTGGATTTGGTCATTAAAAAAAGTTACTCAATATCATTCCACATTTTCACGGGAAGAAGGAATTACATACATCCTCAAAACTTCAAGGTTTTTCAGTAGGGGGCAAGTCCTGTTCACAATAACACAGTTGCAGAAGGCCTAACAAACCTATCAATACGTTTAGAGAATTCATATTAGGAACAAATGCTGTGCCAAATCTGAAAAAAATTGGTGGAGAAATAAATGATTGAAAATAGAAACACATACAGCAGTATTTGAAAGCTATCAGTCAAAACATCTGGGGTGAAAATAGGGAAATACCTTATAATACCCATCTACTGAAATACACTGGACTGAAAGAACTTTCACAAGGGAATGGAAAAATGGTAATTTTGTTTAAAAAACTGGGGCTCTCTTTTAAATTTGGAATATATGAGAACATTGTTTACACACAGTAGGTAATTTTCATTTATGTATGTAATAAGGAACCAATTGTTTCCACGTAAATTCGTGTGATTGGGCAAGATGAATGTGAGAACCATAACATTTTCTATCTTTCATAAATTCAAATTCACAATCATAATGTTGCATTATGATTCTTTTTTTGTTTTCATGTGTATGGAACAGAAGAAAGGAAGTCATTACAAAGCACATCTCCTTTGAAATGTCTCCACTTTGCTCCAATGCTAACGAAGTCATCAGCTTTGTAATAGCATTTATTACAGAAATTACCATCTAAATGGCTAACATTAGTTTAATTTAAGTACACCAAGGGCCTACCTCTAAACTGTAAAAACACCTGTCAGGGGACACACTTATAACACAGTAGCCCCACCACAGTTTGATGGTGTACACAGGACTTTTCAAAAGTTTTAGTTAAATCATGGCTAATAGTCTCTAATCTTGTTCTGACACTTGGTTAAAACATTGATTGGTTACAAGTACACTGTAAAATAAAAGTATTTCAATGTGTTTTTTACAATGTGGATAGGCCCAAAGAAATATCAATTTTTCCCTTTTGAAAACTTAGCTTATTCATTTATTATTATCATAACTTATAAAGCCCCATAGATGTTCATGGTGCTTTCTAAAACATATAGTTTGCGTAGTTCACTACCACCTTCTGTGCACAGAAGATGAAAAATAAGAACAACCCAACAGTGCATTTTTATCACTAGGTTGTTTCTACAGCAAATGCAATTGACAATTAAATCCACAAGCCAAGACAATTCCATGGTGGACTTGTTTCCATCTAAAAATCAGTAGTCCTGTCGTGTTTGGCAATTTTGCTAGTCACTGCTCAGCTTGCTTCCACCACACTAAGGGCACACATACATCATAACTGCTGCAGCCAGAGGGCACAGACAGGAAATCAAACTTCCCCAGCTCCTGGTGAGCTGCTAGGACTTCTCTCCGGCACCCACCCACAAATACTCCATACAGGGAGGGGTGAGAAGAGTGGAATATGGTGTGCAGCAAAGTAGGTTCAGAGATACAAAGACAGAACACAGGATTGGGTCAATGGAGCAGGGGTGAGGGGGCAGGAGGAGGTGGTGGAGGATGAATCACAGAACTGTTGGTGTAAGGCACAGCAGAGCAGATGGGAGTAAGTAGTACAAGTTGGGGGAGGAAGCCGGGAAGGAGACATCAGGGCAAAGCTGGAGTATTGAGATGTAGAAGGGTTGAGTGAACAAAATTGGGACCAGAAACAGGGCAGAAGGGAGGAGATGAGGGATCAAGATGCAGGGAAGCAAGGCTGTTTAGAAAAGATGGGTGTTAAGGGTAAAAGGACCAGGGAAGAGGAGGGGAATCAAGGCCCAGGACAGGATGGAATCAGGGTATAGTGCGGAAGGGCCAAAGCACAACGGCCATGGGGAGAAGATGTGGGAGATGGGGCGAGGCCATGGTGCAGCAGCAGAAGGGCCCGGGGGGAAGATGGTAGCGGAAGATCGGGGAGGAATGAGGGGACGAAGTGGGGGTCAGGGCACAAAGGCTGTGAGGAGGAGACGATGATGGGCGAGGAGCATGGCATGGCCAGTAGATGGGGGAGGGGAGGGCACTGCGATCAAGGCACAGGGCAGGGGAACAGGGTGGGTACCCAGGGCCATGAGAGGCGGGGGGGCGGAGGGGAGCGTGTCCAGAGGACGAAGGTCCTGGGGAAGCTGGGGTGCGATAAGGAGGCGGGATAGGAGACATGACGGAGGCGCCAGGGGCGGGACCGGAGGTGCCCTGCCCAGGCCAGGAGGCGGCAATGGCGAGGGACCCCCCCCGCTCCAGCGGTCTGGGGACTGCGGGCAGCGCTCCCCTGGCGCCGCCCTGGGCTGGGGGGAGTTTTTCCTTTACCACAATCCCGCGGCCGCTGCCTCTCTGCGGCGCCGCGCTGCTGCCGCCCTGCCCGGCCATCTTTCCTCGCCAGCCCCAGGGGAGCGGCGCGGAACCGCTGCAGCCGCTGGGCTAGAGGGGGGAGGCGGTGCTGCTGCTCTCCGGGTGGGGGCCGGGAGGAAGGCGTCGGCCTGCAGGGCGCGAAGGCCGCCGCATGCAGCGATGGGGGCCCCCTTGCGCGGAGGAGAGGAGTTACCCGCCGGGCCTCTACCCCTCAGCTGGCCCGGGCCGCTACTGCCCTTCCCATGGGGGTTGAGGAGACCCCTCCCCCGTCCCAGCTCCTCACTCAAGGGGCAGCGCCCCGCTGAGCATGCAGAGTTCAGCCCTCCCCCAAACAGAGGGAGGATGGGGCATTGGTCCCACGGAGGACTCCCCCCCCCCAACATACCGTGTACAGGCCCCTCAATAAAGGATGGGGGCATCATCCCCACCCTGGTGCGCATATATAGCCTGTGGCCCCTGCTAGAGAGCCCCCAACATAGTGGGGTGTGGGGCAAACCCTGCTAGGGCCTCATCCTCCCGAGCATGGAAATAGGCTCCCTGGAATAAAGTAGTGTGTTAACGCAACTCCGACCCATCCAGAGGGATGTACCTACAACCCCTTCTGATGGCAGTGAATGAATTCAGGCTCAGAGGCTGTGGCAGTGAGCAGGCACTGTGTATGTGCCAAGATAGAAACAATTGACAGACCTTAGGTTTACATCTGGCCTCCGGGTATGCACGGGCATCTATAAGAAAAGCCTCCAGCAAGCACAAATTGACTACCTTTGAATTCATATCTGAGGTCTGGGGGTATTATATTATTTTCATTTGTGTTACTGAGTGCCTATAGGGTGACCAGACGTCCCGATTTTATAGGGACAGTCCCGATTTTGGGGGCTTTTTCTTATATAGGCGCCTATTACCCCCCACGCCCCCCGTCCCGATTTTTCACACTTGCTATCTGGTCACCCTAAGTGCCTAGGAGCCCTACTCATGGACCAGGAGCCCACTGTGCTAGGCGTGTACAAGCACCAGTCAGCAAGCTTTATTATTAAGATACAATATATGCCACAAATGCACTTAAACTGTTCTATACCCTGATATTTCAGTTCCTTACAATAGGGCTTAAAATGAAAAATTAGACCCATGCTGCTATACCCTCCAAATATCATGTATATTTAATTTCCATTGGTACATTTTTATTGCCCACCCATAAGTCAATTGTGCATCTCCAAATAAATCATGCCTCAAATTAATGCTTCAATTCCCCCAATCAAATTATTGTTACTAAATATTATTTGTTTCTGCTAATGCTCATGGTACATCAAACACTTTTCAAACATAGAAGTTCTCTGCCCTGAAGAGCTTACTGCCTGAGAAAGAAAAGATAAAATAGAGTCACAGAATATGGGAGAGGGCGAATGTGACACATAGGCCCTGTTCTTTGCAAACAACTCTAGTCTCAGGCCTGACAAACTCACTACATCAAATACGTTGCTTACAGGGTATTTGTCCATAAAGGATAACATGTAATGTCTCAGTTGAAAACTTGAAACTTATCAATACTCATAATCATTGTGAGATGTGTGTACAGGCAATATTTAAGGAATAATGTAACTATATTGAAAATTATGCCCACGGAGGAAAGAGTAGTCACCAGGGAATCATATGTCTTGGTGATTGTAGTAAGATGAGGCCCTGAAACATAACCTCTTGTGTCAGAGGCCCGGTCTGAGGCCTGAAGCCTGAACCAAAGTACTTCCAGGCATTGCTAAGCAAAAGCTGGGCTGTAAGCCAGAGGCAGGCCCCACTTACAGAAGTTGGCAAGAAGAGGGCTGCTAGAAGCAGGTGCATCTTAAAGACAGGGTCAAAAGGACAGCATGATGGATAGAAACAACATGATCAAAGGAGGAGACAGCCCCCAATGAGTCAAGGGGCTGTACTTCAATACGTCGGTAGGGATGAGTAATCTGTCCTGTAACTGTATAAAAGTAGGTCCCGGAGTGCGCATCTTTGTCTGGCCTAGGGGGCAGTGGAAAGTCCCGCCACTGACTGAGCCGGTCCATTGCCAGGGGGCACAAATTCGTAGTATGTCTTGTAGAGACTACGGGAAACTATTACAGTGCTTCGTTTGACAATAAACCTGGCTCGGGTTCCTTCGTACCTTACTAGAGTCTGTGGTCATTGGGGGTTCTCTTAGGGTTTGCTGTGTCAGCTATCTGCGCAGAGCCGGGGCAGCATACAGAGGGAACACGCACGCAGCTGACTGTTATCAGCATCGAACAAGAGCAGAGCACCACACCGGTAGCTACTGACAACAGTGATAACCTATTCAAACGGGAAGGAATTGTGTCCAGTCTCCCTGGCTAGTCAATTATGTAGTGTATGGTTCAATTGCCTACTCTTACCCTATTGTAGCCCACGAAAGCTTATGCTCTAATAAATTTGTTAGTCTCTAAGGTGCCACAAGTACTCCTGTTCTTTTTGCGGATACAGACTAACACGGCTGCTACTCTGAAACCTATCCCAGAACTGTCAATGAAAAACCATCAAAGACAACTGCAAACAGTTAAAACCATGTGGAGGTAAAAAGGAACATTATAACAGACAGGGGATCCCCCTGTCTATTCATAAAGACAGAAGACTGTTTCAGTATAACACAGATGTAGGAGATACCCTCTGGAGCCATTCACTGAGGAGACATCTTGAGCAGGGGTGTTTTTCATGAAAGATTGGATCCTGGTTCCTGTGAAGCCAGACAGCTCTGCAACAGACTGAAATTTGGGGGGAAACCTACTTTATTAGATACAAATGGTAACTATTAGTAAATGTAGGCCCTAGTTCACATTTTACTATTTTTTTTTCAATTGTAAGCTTTTGTTTCCATCACTCTCTCGTTTCTAGTGGAATCTCTATTATTTTTTAAGTAAACCTTCTTTTGTTTCACTAAAAGAGCTGTGTGCTAAACAGGAGCGGTGGTTTAAGGTAAAACTGCTAAACTGGGGTACACTTCTCCTTTGGGGCAGAGGATCTGAGTTTCTGTGAGTAGCCGGTATCAAGGGCTGGATATCACAGGGGAATACTTCAAAGTGACTTGGGGACTTGGGTGCACCTCTTGTTAACCTGCAAAGCAAAGACAGGGCTGGCATAGCCCAAAAGAAAATGCTTGAGTGCAGGGGTGAAAGTAGGCCAGTACGGGCCGGTATGGCGTACCAGTAAGAAGTGGCTGCCGGTACTGGCCCATACGCAGCCAACATTAAAGCGCTGCCCCTTTCTCCCCCCCTCCCCCTCCATTGGCAGCCCTGCCGGTAGGGACTCTACCAGCAGGGCCACTGACGGGGAGGGGGGAGGTGGGTAAAAGGGGCAGCTGCCCTGGGCCCAGCGATTTAAAAGGGCCCAGGGCTCCCGGCTGCTGCCACCACTACTACGGCAGTGGTCAGAGCCCTGGGCCCTTTTAAATCGCCACCGGGGCCCAGGGCGGTGTGGGCCAGGCAGTGTGGATGGGCTGGCTGGGAGAGGCTGACCCCCAGCCCCGCCCCTTCCGCCCAAGGACCCGCCGCTTCCAGGGGCCCAGAGCTGGGCCCCCATACCGGTAAGTCTTCTGTGTTACTTTCACCCCTGCTTCAGTGGCTGAAAGACTGGTGGTGCTAGAGAACTAACACCTAATTATCACAGTCAAGAGTCCCTCACACTGGAGTTAGGGGGTAACAAGGTGCCTCTTAGTCCTGGGTACTCTGAGAACCATCAAAGGGACACCAAACAGGTCAGGTGAAAAGGTGGTGATTTGCTATGTGCTGACAAGAGAGTTTGAATAACACAATCTTTTTATTTTAATATAGGGAATATAGACAATCCCAAATATTGTAACTCTTACAGTTATTTGTAGATGTCATGGTGGAAGTGGTCATTTCAAGAGACTTGAATAAGGAAAAGGTGGTGTTGGCTCCATTCATAGAGTGTGATAGAAGAAGTTGCAGATGGATTAATAAGAGAAGCAAGTAAATGATGTGTCAAAGCTGGCATCATTGGCAGAGTGAACAGGATGGGGCAACATTAAAAGAGACAGATGAGGACAGAGTTGTGGAGAAAGCTTGGATTTGATGTAGTGGAGGAAGGGAAGTCAGTGAATGGATAAAATGGAGTGACATGGTCAGAATGACAGATGAGCAACATAATATTAGCTGTAGCTTTTTGTTTAGACACAGGGGCAACCTGGGTGTCAGGGAGGCCAGATAGCAAGTGATTGCAGTCATTAATCAATTAATGCTGTCTTCCATCTTTGAAGAGCTCCTTTGCTGCTTCTGCCTCTACTCCATCCAGGTGTGTTGAAAATGACATTGGCCTCCCAACTCCTTCTCTCCACCTAGGGTCTTCCTTCCTCACTCTTCCTCTCCTCCTCTTAAAGGGGCAGCAGTTCAGGAGCCATTCTGTTCCCTGCCTTCCCTCTTCTGATCCTGTGAAAACTGTAACAGCTACAGCTGCTTTGCTTTCAGCCCTTCCTTCTCCTGAAAAGGAGCATCCTCCTCTCGGGCCACTTTGATCACTGTCTACCTCTAATTTTCCTGTTAAAAGAGAATGAACTTTGAGCTGCTCTGCCCGTTTTCCACCCTACCATCCGGAGGAAGAGACAGCCCCACTCAGCTCAGTCTTCTGGGTAAAATTTCTAATGGCCCAGAGCAATGAGTCAAGTGGGTTTTTCAAGCTATGACTTGCTCTGTTACTTATTTTATAAAAGTGTGGCTGGTAGAATTTTACAAGTCCTAGTAGGTTAACTGAAAAATAATTGGTATGTAAGGATGTGAGAACAGATTGGTCCATAGCAAGGTATGGGCCTGACAGCTGATCCTCAATGGCAGACTAGAAAGGCATTTTTAATTTGGTTCACTACTTTTAAAAAGTAGCAAGTAATGAAAATAAACATAAGACATTCAACAGAGAACACAATCAAAACATGAGGGAGTGGATGGCCTATGGGGCTGGTATCGATGAAAATTTTTCACGATGAAGGTCTCTGCTTAAAATCTGGTCCAATTGTATAGTGACTAAAAGTTACCATTTGATAGTTTTTTGGTGGTTTGTGTGAAATAAATTTGTAGTCTTCATCCATTTAATGGATAAATATCTATATAAAAAACATCACCAAGTGGCACTGTAGTAGGCTGAAAGAGCAGTGATATCAACAATTGAAAGAGCGTGGAAACTGAACTGGAATTTTTTCATCGTTGGATGT